GGTAGATATCCAAGATTAAAAAGTAGGCATTTTTTTTTTTTTTTTTTTACAATAAATTACCGAAAAAAGCCTTTCCTTTTTTTTAACTAATTAATATTTAATTAATTATCTCCCATTCCGAAATTCAACTTATCGACGAATCGATTTAGCAAAATATTTATTTCGCGTTGGATAATATGGAACACGATAGTAATAATATGATCACTTTCCCGATATTATCAAACATCACAGGCACCTGACCCGGGACTTAAATTTCGGCGCATTGGAATTGAGTCTCCGTTGTTCAAAAATCTACTCTAGTTGAGTGCCGGGTTGATGCGGGTACTATACAATTTGGGACCCGAATTTCCATATGGACGGTACACTAGTTGGGTCCCGCGTTAATAGTGCCATATTAACCCAAAAATCCAATAATATTCAATTATTTTCGAAGTTTAGATTAATAAAACACCGGTAGTCGTAAATAAAATAAAACTATACACAAATAACCAAGACCAACAAATAGCAAAATCTATTATATTTGTTATCATTTTCATTGCTACAATTTAACAATTTATAAATTGTATAATGTGTCTTTGGTTCAGTAACAATCGGATAAACGTATTTGAAACTCCGACGACTGTGTTTTTCGAACGTCTTCGGTCGTTTTGCGTAATGTGTCTGTCCGTTATGGAACAAACTCAAGAAAATATGTTTTTTGAAAGAGGAAAACAAATATAATACATAATTGATAACTTGAAACATTCATATTCATAAGAAATTAAAAAGTAACGACCGGACGCCGTCTTCTGAATGTTTTCCGAAATATCAAGTTCATCTGGCGAAACAAAACATTTTCAATCATAGCCGTATTTTATTTTAAACTATAAATCAGTGATAGTCCTGAGTCTATGAAAACGAGAAGGACATTTTTTTTTTGTACAGCTAGTAAACGCTTAGGCCCAACTAACAGCAATGTTGCGAAAGTCGGGACTCAATGTAACTAAAGTTCATTGGAACCCAATGAGTGTACCACCTATCAAAACTACTTGGATGCAGAAGAATTAATATCAATTAGACAAATTGGTGAAATTACAGCGCTGTATTCGATAGGCAATAAGGTCGGTATAACGTTGAGCTTTAAAATGCTTATTAATATGCTGATTGGACATGGTTGGATTTTTTGACAGACACCTTATTAAGGCAAGTGAATCCCTATAAATATGAAGACGTGCACGGTTGGGAAAAGGTCAAATAAAGTCGTAGGCATACGTTTTTTTTAATTCCCATAGTTCAAAATCCAAGTCATAATATTATCTCATACCTGAAACCTTAGCCGTACAATTATCATTCGAGTGATTTGAATTTGTCGATATCGTCACACAGCAGTATACTCGAATTTGAGACACTATTGTATATTGTTAGAAATGAATAAAATATCGCCTGCCGACGGCTAGCCATAGCCGCGTGTTTATCTCGCCTTTATGTCGTGTTATCCGGTTGTTATCGTAGGCCGTTAAACGCGATTTCACAGACTAGAAGCGATGATGGTTCGAGAGGCGTGAAATTTCTTTGTGCTGAAAAACGGTCTTGCCGGCGTCTTTTTTTTTTTTTTTAACAACCCCGTAAACTATTAAAGGCGGTAATGTTTGCGGGTTTTTCTTTAAAAAAGCGGCACGGCGAAATTATCGCGAGCGCATATCGGGAAGGTGCGGTCGGCGTTGCGGCGGCGACGACGGCGACGCCTCCGTTTTTTCCCTCTCGCCGTCACCGTCGTACGCCGGAAGACGTGTCGCGAATACGAATTTCGCACTTATTAATATTTTTTTTATCTTTTTTCGCGAAAACGAAAACCAAAAAAAAAAAAAAAAAACAAACAAACAAACAACAAACAAAAACGCCGCCAACCGCGCGGACGGACGGAGGGAAATTTCGCACCGTCAACCCGGCCCGCCCGCGTTCGCGCGTATATAACACACACACACACACACACACCGAATTATCATAATGTGCAATATTATACGTAATGTAATCAACGGACGTGAATTATTTCGAACGCGTTTTATCGGTAACCGTACACTCGTTTACACTCGCCCGCGGGCGCCCATAACTTCTCGTTTGCCCGGGGAATTTCGACGGCGGCGTGGAAAAAGACAAACGCCGCCGCCGCCGCCGTCGCCGCCGAGAGATACGGTCCGGACGAGTATTATTATTATTATTACTGCCGCTATTATTATTATTATTATTATTATTATTATTATTATTATTATTATATATTTACGACGTCGGAGGTCGGGTTATAATAATATTATACGGTCGGATCAACAAAATTAGCGGGCAACACTATTGCGGCACGTCTTCCGCGACGGCGGTGAAATATCCTTCGCGCCCGCGGCGGCGCGACCGCGAAAATTGACCCCCGCGATATTTTGACCATCCCCCCCCCACGCGCTCGCCGGTAAAATTTCATTAGAAAAATGTTACCCCTCCCGTTCCGGCATTGTTCGGCGCCCCGAAATCGTGTTAGTGGATATCGACTCGACACGAAAATTCGTTCCGCAACGCAATTGCGGTTAACTTTTCGGGTGTACGGGGTTTCAAGCGGACCGATTTGAAATTTCATCAGACCATATCATAATAACCTATGGCCTAACCTATGCACGGTGTTTATTGCTTTTTAATCTGTCCATTGACAACGGACCGTGTTAACGTCAATAATAAAAACAATTTAAATACCGAAAGATAATAAACAATATCGATGGCTTTAACTATAAAAACCGTTGTGCGTTGTGCAAAGCAAGTTCGAATAAAACAAACAAATACAAATGCACCATGAAAATAAATAAAAGAAGTAAACTCTTAATATTAAAATGTATAAATTGTCATTTATATCTCATATCTACAACTTTTATACAAAAGAAACGCTCTAATAATGTTCAAAATTGATGAAATTCCAAAGAGGCGAATGCCGGTGATTTTTATGTTTGGCATATGTACACGTACCGTTAGCTAAGATACGAATAATTAATCTGTGGTTTAGTTTGATAAGCAACGATCGAAGATAACATAGTATAGGTTGTAGATTGTGATGATAGTACGATATTAAATTTGTTTATTGGCCTTCGCAAGTTGTAACCACGATTGATAGTAAAATAACAATTTTATAAATTTTATAATACAATTTGATTTTAATTATATAAATAGTGATAGAATATTTCAGCGAGCCAATCGGGACTATATGACCCTGTCCCGTCAAAAAACGCTCTTGGTTTTTATCCGCAGGCGTAACAACCCCATCAACTGTGGGATGCTAAAATTATGGACATGTCAAAGACCCATAGAGACTATGCCCCAATAATTCCTTTTCATTATTAATTTCACGTCCATGTGAAATAGGTGGTATATCTAACTATATAGGAGTAATAAAAAAAAACGGAACGCAAATGCTGATGAGTATACTTCTGTTTTAGTTAGGAAACTTGGAAAGAGAGAAAAAATTAAGTAATTAAATTTATCATTGCCAAAGAAATACGATTCAGAGCGAAATTCGGTTAAGCATCAATTAAAATTTCGTAACATTATAAATTCATCGGACTTTAAGGATGATATTATATGTGTGGTAAAATATCGATCATTTGAAAAATGTAATAAAGGAATTCCGAGGAAATGTGATTTGAAAAAATAAATGTATTTTTAATTGTGAGATGTTTTATTTAAAATACAAATTGATTAATATTTCAATTTTAATGTATACCTAGACGGGATAAAAGAAGCTGTAATAGTACCCATACTGCGAGCAATTTATTACAATGTTCAAAGAGTACGAGAAAACACTTGTATATATATATATTTATAATGATAATACTTAATCAGAAAATAATGATTTGTATATGCCGTTATAATATATTATCGTGAGTAGCTGTAGTTGAAATTTCATAGGTGGGGAAGACAAATTAAAAAAAAAAAGATTAAATTCCGTTTGAAAGAACAAATGATACGGGAGACACGGGTGAGGCACTGTTGTAGATGGAAAGCTAGGAAGGTAGTATATATTGTAAGCCATGATTTTTTTTATAAAAGAATTTCAAAATCAAATTTTAACGAAAATCGTCCGAGTAAAAAATTATGTGAAACAAATCTAATTTTTCAATTATTTTTTTTTTTTGTATATTGCTCATTTAAGAACAACGGTGAAGTCAGAATTAAGCGGTCTGACTTAGTTTCGAAATCATAGCCTTTTGAAGTTCTGATATTTTGCGGCTTTGCGCCAGTTAAATAACTCTATATTGTCCTTTTTAAAGGATATTTGTCGTGGTCTAATGGTTATTTATGCTTATTATCATTCTAGGGGTTTTGAGTTCAAACTAGTGTACACAACAAAAATTGTTTGCAATTTGTTTTCCCTTTCACGCAAACAAGGGAAAATAAAATGCATTTGGGATGTACTTAGAGACCCAAGCCATCGCTCTCTCTCGGACTATTTTAATCGCAAAATACCATTTGATTTGTTGTGTACATTTTGCTACCAGAAATCTTGCTTCGGTGTATAAAGTGTAGCTTATTTTATAAAAAGAAAATTGTGGTTATTTAGGGAGGTAATTTCTTAATTTTTAACCGGTTTTCATAATATCTGGGAAAAGTTGTGAAAAACGTAGAAAAAACGGGCAAATGTACAAAATATATTTGTCAAATATTACGATTTTTTTTTCTGTAGACAACTTTTCTTCCAGTAATTTTGCTTCAATTTACAATGATAGCACTTTTTCTAAAAGGAAATTTGACTGGGAAGGTACTTTAAGGAAATCAATTTTTGATTTTCCCAAGAGTTTTCCAGCAAATGTGAAAAACCGGGAAAATCGGTGCAATATTAAACAAATATTATTTATGAAAATGTATAATGCCTATTCAATTATTTTATCATAATGTGACATATATATTATTGATAAATCATCATTTTCAACTGAACTGTGCTCAGGATAGTTTTTTCGTTAGCAATGGTTTATCGTTGCTTACAGATACACATTAAATTACCTATACCAGTGGCTGCACCCGTCTCCATTATCTCTTTTTTAATATAAGTTTTCTATTCGAATTTCAATTTTGTACGATTCATTTTAACGGAATTACAACAAAACAATAAGAACAAAAGAAAGGTAAGATAATTGAGACGGGTGTAGCCACTGGTGTAGGTGAGAAATTGGAAATGCAGAATACAGACGGGAATGAAATGTATATTCGGTTTGGGTCACTTATTAAAAAAACTAAAGATAAAATCTAAAAACAACTTTCTTATACAACACTAGTCTTAAAATGAAACAAAGAATGTTCCTGTTGTTTTTCTTTTGGAAAAATATATCTGGTAAAAAATAGAAGCTGTAAAAACTCAATGGATTCATTACGCCGTAAATTTATCAGTTTTCAAGTTTCGTCTTTTTCCGATTTTTCTTAATCATTATGAAAACTACTCGGGAAATTTAAAAACAAGTTTCTTTATAGGTAACTATAACCGAAAAGCACGAAAAATTAATCTAGATTTAATTAAGAAATCATTTCTGATAGAAAAATAGTTCGTTAGAATCGAAAATAATTAAATTGGTAATGCTGCGAAGTGGCCATAAATATTTGACGTTGTACCTGCAATTTTGTTTTCGGGTTTTTCAAATTATTTTGGGAACCATTTAAAAATTCAAAAAATGATCTCTTTGGTACGCCAGCTAGATCGGAAAAGGTTTTACACTTGATATATCGGAGTAATTTTTCTTTTAAAAAAGTCGTTTACAGACCGCAAATAAATCATTATTAAAAAAAACCAATAGAATCCTCGCTGCACGTTGATTCTTAAAAATACATCTTTTGTAAAACCTCTAGGTCCTTCGCTACACTCCGAAACTAAAAACGATCACGAGCAGGCGGAAGAACGATTGTTTCGTCTCGTCCGTTAACGCACAATGGCACCGGTTCGTATGGTAAAGCCGGGCCTTGGGCGGACGCTTTTTTAAAAAATCGAGCCTCGAACCGCTTCGTTTTCGGACAGGGTTTGCTTGCCGAACGAAACGAATACTCGATTACGGGCTAATTATACAATTTCGATTAAAATTAAAGATTATTTAAGGGTTGCGGAAAACGTTAAACGCACAGATACGATGCAATTGTTTTACCAAAATATGACATGTACGCGAAGCGACACTATCGACCGAATCGTTTTTTTTTTTTTTTTTCGTTATCAACAGAGTTAATCGTCGCTCGCGGACGTACATTGAACTCCCGTCTATATATCGACGGTATTTTCGACGCGTCTCGCCGACGACCGCGGCCGCGCCGTCGGACGGATTTTCGTCTCTGCCCGTGTACGATTCGTTACCGTCCAATGCGATCACCCTAGCGGTCGTCATCCCGGATCCGCGATCCCGGACGTCGCGAAACGTATCTGTCCATATGGAACGGCGTTCCGCGACGCGGCGCTATCGATTCCGCGGTAGATCCCGGGCGGAGAGGGAACCGGCTAGGCGCGACCTGTTGTCGTTGCGCGGTACCGGGTCGCCGCCGCCGCCGCCGCCGTTGTAATCGATGCCGCCGCGCGTACCGTGTCACCGACACGGGTCCGCGTCGTCGTCGTCGTCGTCGTCGTCGTCGACCGGGTACTAATATGCCCGTCACCACGCCCCGTAAATCGTAATAATATACAGCCGTGTAGTAATTACACACGTTCGACGCCCCGTGTCTCGACTACGCCGCCGCCGAATCGTCGCTCTCGCCCTCCCCTACCCCCTCCCCACCCCTTCCCTCCACGCGCCGCGGCCGCGGCCGCCGCCGCCGCCGTTGCGTCCCCGTCTAGCCGGCGCGAAATAAAGTCACTTTAAACGCGTTCCGAAAAATTACAACGTTCTCACCGTCCCGACACCCCGCCGGCGCCGCCCCTTCCACCGGCGCGATGCCGGTTTCCGTTTATGAAATATTAATACGGCGTTTCGCCGCGGGCCCCCCGCCACCCGCGCCCGTCTGTCCACTGAACCGCCGCGCGCCGCAGACAATTGGACACCGCCGCCGCCGCCGCCGTCACCGTCACCGCCGCCGCAGCCGCCACCGCCGGGCGTCGGTGCGAAGTCGCGAGCGAAATGCGTTATTAACGAATTACCGCCGTTACCGACACCGTCTTCGGGAGAAAATCGCTATCTCCCGATCTCCGTTTCCCCCGTCCGGGTTCGCTTTCCGATTCCTCTTCTTTTTTTTTTACGGGCCGTTGTATCCTTACGTGTATTTCAACGCCCGGACAATACCGTTTTAGATACTTTGTGGAACGGAGGATGTGTTGGTTTTACAAAGATGTTTATTTTTAGATTTTTCGCGGCAACGCTTTTTCTACCTGAAAGCTTACTCCGCGACGTATAGGACGCAGGACTTTTTCTGAAATTAAATTTTCTTGGGTCGGTACTTTAACCTTTAACGAAGTCATTTTTCGATTTTCTCCGGAGTTTTTTTTTATCAAATGTGAAACACCGAAAAAAAAAAAACGGAGGAAAAATGGAAAAATCGTTACAATATCAAATAAATATTATTAAAAAAAATATATAATCCATATTTAGTTATTTTACCATAATATTCCATATATATTGTTGACGACAATACATCACTATAAAACTGAACTCCACTCAGAATCGTATTTTGTTAGCAATGGTTCATCATTGCTTACAGATATTCATTAAATTCCCTTTTGTATCCTAACTCCCTAATTTCCAACCTACAACAGTGGCTGCAACCGTCCCCATTTTCCTAGGACATCTTTTTTTAAATTTTATATTCGTTTTTAAAGCAAATACATAAATATATACGAGTTTATGAACGAACTTTACCGGTAAATTTTACTTGACCGTGTATAATTGTCGGTCACTAAACAAAATTCGGTACTTCCTATAATAATTTGGTTTAGTAGTTATACTCTACTCGACCTGATACTATTTTAGTGTAAACAAGGTTTCGACTACTAAACTGTAATTTTTGATGGCCTTGTTTTTCTTTGTTCGTCGTTTTTAACCTCGTCAATTAAGTGAAATAAAGCCAATGAAAATCAAAAATTAAAATGTTCATCCGAAAATTTAAATTAGCTGTAAGTAACTCATAAAACGTCAGATTATTTTGAAAAATTGCCACGTCTATTAAAGATTTAATATAAATATTCGGTGAATATTTCAAGTCTTTACTATTATTATGAATGGATTGAAACAGTTTTCAAAATCTAAAATAAATGAATCCACGCGTTGTTGTGCAAATAATCCGGCTATGGTTTCGGATTTTTTTTTTTTTAATTTTTCCCCGAAACAAGGTTTACAAGGCGAACCATAAAACATCTCTTGTACCAACTATGCAATATTTCCATTCGAAGAAATTCTCAGACAAAAATAAAATACACACACACACACATAACAGTTAAACCAATTTATTCCTCGTAACGCTCAGAATCTAAAACAATATTTGCTTATTATAAAAGTTCATCGAATGTCATCCCCGATGAAAAGTTGAAAAAAATATAGCCGAAATATGGTTTAGAAAAAACAAAGTTTTACGAATAGTCTTTGGTTTTCCCGGTACTAACACACTGCACACCCCGTTCCAAAATCTGATATGCCACTGGCTCTCTCTCCTAGATACGGCCTGAGTTATTTACGGTAATCGTGTATGCAATAACAAGATTTACGGTTCATTAGATTTATCGTCCCGGGTTACCACGCATAACAGTCTGTTATCGTTTCTGTAGGCGTACCGTAATAATCGTACCCGATACCTGCGTGTGTCGCCAAGGGTCTCGTCGTGATATTATTACGACGGCCTCTGCAGGTCAATATAACTGTTTTTTCGAGAGAGAGAGAGAGAGAGAGAGAAAATACCAATCGACGAAATTGCCGAGTTTTGATTTCCCCCATGACCGTAATGAAATTATTTTATTGTTATTTTTTCATCCCCTCGTCCTCAGCAAACATATTAAGTTTTAATTCGGTGCTTTCACGGAGTCGACGTACCTACATGATGTTTCGGGACCGATTGGTACAAACAGAGCCAGATTATTAAGTTTAAGGGGGAAAAGTAGGTGCTTGTTTGAAAGCAAACAGTTACCTTTTGAAAATTTCTGGACACGCCACTAAAAGTAGGTCAATATTGTAAGTGAGAACTTTTAACATAAAACGCTTATGACAATAACGCTTATGCATGTTGCTCAAATGTTTTTGAACATAAATATTTATAAACATTAATATAAAACTTATTATAAATAATGAATATAACCAATGAAGAACCTATTAAGATTACTTATATAAATTGTATAAAAAAAATATATCGACTGACTGCGGGTATTTTTATATTACTATAGGAACAACTTGTAAGGAACCTTTTGTATGAAATTTTCGAGTGTTACACGAAATCAAAATAATTTTATCTAAAAAAACTAAACGGACTAGCAACAGATAACTCAAAAAATTCGGAATATTTTTTAATTTAAATCGTGTCTACAGAAAATGTTACTTTATGTATTTTGTAAAAAAGTCGGATTTCAACGATTATTTTTCGTTAAACTACAAAAAAAAAAAAAAAAAAATTGGTTTTAATATTTGTAACATAAACATTGTTTGCATTAATAGTCGTGTTTTCAGAGAAAACCTTTAGGGAAATTAAAAATTACACCAACTAGGCAAACATTTTTATATCAGAAATCTTTCTTGACCTTGAATTTGATACGACTGGAGTAAGATTTCTAGTTGAAAAATTCTTCACAGAAAAAAAAAAACAAACAGTACGACCAAACTAATATATTGCATTCACTTCAGTGCTGTAGGCAGGAGAAAAAGGACGTTATAGGGATTGAATGCCTCCCCCCGTTCACTTAAAAATACAACTATGAGTATATAACAAGTATTTTTACCTTGAAATTATGTATGTAGGTTAAGTTGTAAGGAAAAAAAAGCGTGATTTATTCAGTGGAAATGATTAGTTTTTAGATTCGGATTTCACATTCTTACTGTCTAATTATTAGTTATAATAAAAGAAGATTCGACGTTTTATTTATTCATTACGGTCCATTATCTACCGAATCCCCCGGCCTCCCAATTGAAAATCCCTTGGCGCGCCATTGCCTCATTTCGTTTAGAATTTAAAAAAATTTATGAAATTCCGTGCACCAATATACGTATAATGTTATACGAGTTTGAAATTGA